TTCCTTCAGGGGCAGCAACGTGGTTAAAATAAACAGTCATTTTGTTGTCTCACTAAGATTTGCAGTTTAACTGTTTCCTCCCCACCAAAATAGAAATTATGTTTAAACTGATTTCTAATTTCATACTCTCTCGTTTTTTCCTAAAGATTTTTATCTGGAAAAATAGCCTAAGGTTTTTCACAATTCAGCAAAAAGACTTTAAGCAAAAAGTTATCACAATTACATTAAAAAAAAATTAGAAAGTACTTAAATATCCAACTATATTTGGTTAACTAACTTTTAGTACATACACCTACATTCCTGAATGTTGTATAATTATTAAGAAGTATACATACAAATAAATTTGTAACAAAATATGAAATGTTTTATTAAAATGTTTTTCAAACAAGATGAAAATTATAAATTCTATACATAATATGATCATCAACTTGACTAGGTGTCAACATGGAAACAAAGTTATATATAAAAGAGACTGAAAAATAAAATAAAATAAAAAGGAGACTGAAAAAAATAAACCAAAATGTTGACTAAAATTTTATCTGTAGGGTAAGCTTACTGATTTTTTTCTTCTTTCTATTTCAATTTATTTCCTATATGAGCATATATTACTATTAATTCTAGAAATCTTTACTTTCATTTTGAAAGAAATCCTATCAGCTGATTCAAAATCATAATTGCTTAGTATTTGTTCCGGGTTGTAATTTATTTGAGTCCAGTGATTTGAAGGTATACTACTTGAACTTCTTGCAGTTTAATTACATTTTAATCATATCTGTTCCATCCTTTCTAGTTTGAAAATTTTTCTCCTTGGTAGAGAAGACAAAAGCCAACATTTTTTTTTTCATAAGTCTTAGTTCTTCCCATCCAAAATCCAGCCCTTTCTTTCCACTTTCACTAACCCCAGTCTGCTGGGAAACCCTTACCAGACTTTCACAATCAGCCCTTAGCTTTTCTTCCCACCTCCTCTGCTCCTGGCAAGTGATTACCCATATTATGTCCAGATTAAGCTCTCAAATGATCAACAATTACTTCCCATTTCCACCAGATAAAATCCAGTC